CTGAAAAAAAAAAAAAAAAAGTGGACCCAAATGAGTTCTCTTCTATTATGACCAGGACATAGCACATTCAGGTCACTCAAATTTTAGAATAAAACATATCCTGTTAGCTCACATGATACTCTGAGACCAGCCTTAGCCACATGACCTTCCTTTTAAAAAAAAAAAAAAAAAATGTGGCCCCAGCTGGGCATGGTGGCTAACTCCTGTAATCCCAGCACCTGGGAAACTGAGACAGGAGGATTGCCGAGTTTGAGGCCAGTCTGGGCTACATAGTGAGTTCAAGAGTTGGGGATTTAGCTCAGTGGCACCGAGCCTGCCTTGCAAGCAAAAGGTCCTGAGTTTGATCCCCAGTACCAAAAAAATACATAGTTCATGGCCAACCTGAACTACAAAGGGAGACCTTGTCTCAAAAACACAAAAGGGCTAGGGATTCAGCTCAGTGGTGCTGCCACCTGCCTCGCAAGTGCAGGGTCCCGAGTTCGATCCCTGGTACCGAAAAAAAAAAAAAAATTAAACAAAAAATGTGGCCCCGGAAAGGGAAGAGCTAGTGTTTTCTTGCCTCCCTATAATCTTCTGCATAGCCTTCAAATGAAGGTTTCAAGGGTAAATCAGATCATGCCCTTCCCCTGGTTAAAACCCTCCAGTGTTTCCCATTGATTTAAAATTCCAAGTCTTTATCATGGCACACAGACCCTGAATGTCTGGCCCCTGGTTATTTCTGAGATCTCATCTCTTAACATCACCCATTCTCTTATTTGTTCTCTTTTTTTTTTTTGTACCGGGGATCGAACTTGGGACCTTGCGCTTGCAAGGCAGGCGCCGGAACCACTGAGCTAAATCCCCAGCCCCTTATTTGACCTCTTTGCTGCAGCCACACTGGCTGTTGAATTCTCCAAGAATTTGTTTTTATATTTTGTCATGTAAGATATGATACTGTAATGCTATTAGCATGGTTTTCTCTTCCCAGTCCTTCAGATCACCAAGTCTCATCTTCAAATGCAACTGCTGAAAGGCCTTGCCTGACCAGCCTACCTGAGTTGCTCCTCTGTTAACTCTGTTTTTTCTTTTTTTTTTTTGGTACCAGGGATTGAACTTAGTACCTTGTGCTTTCGAGGCAGGCGGCAGAACCACTGAGCTAAATCCCCGGCCCTACTCTGTTTTTTCTTTCAAAGCCATTACTGGTCTACAATCCTTTTACTTGCCTACCTGTTTGTAGCCAGCTCCCCTACTAGGCTGTGGCTTTGTGAAGGCAGGTGATGTGTGCTGTGCTCTCTACTGTACCCATGGGCCAGCCCAGTGCCTGGCATAGAGCTGGTGCTAAAGTAAATGTCTGTGGCTGGGTAGTTGATAGATGAATGGATAAGTGACTGGTGGGAGATGAGTTGGGCACTTCAGGCTTTGGATGGATATTCTGATTGACATCTGTCCCCATCTCGCCTTTTCAGAGAGGCCGCTGCACCCCAAGGAAAAGGTCCTAGAGCAGGCCTTGCAATGGTGCCAGCTCCCAGAGCCCTGCTCAGCCTCCCTGCTCCTGAGGAAAGTCTCCCTGGCCCAGGCTGGCTGCCTTTTCACAGGTGAGCCTTCCCGAGCCCAGCATTCCCCCAGGCTCTTCTCTAGGGCCCTCCACCCAGCATTGCCCTTCTGTGCCCAGGTGTCCGGAGAGAGAGCCCACGGGTGGGGCTACTGCGGTGTCGTGAGGAGCCGCCTCGCTTGCTGGGAAGCCGCTTCCAGGAGAGGTTCTTTTTGCTGCGTGGCCGCTGTCTGCTGCTGCTCAAAGAGAAGAGGGTGAGGCCTTGTGGCTAGTGGAGGGGTTGCTGAGTAACCATGTAGCAGGAGCCGTGAGGGTACCAATCCTCTGCCCTTGCCGCCCATGTTCCCACCACCTGTCTGATTCCTGGACCTTGCCCCATACCTTGTGGTCACATACCCAGATGCATGTATAGCTTTTTTTTTTTTTTCTGGTACTGGGGATCGAATTCAGGACCTTGCACTTTCAAGGCAGGTGAGGCACCACTAAGCTAAATCCCTGGGCCTCCATAGCTTTTTTTTTGGTACTGGGGATCAAACTTGGCTTTTTATGCTTTCGAGGCAAGCAGCGGAACCACTGAGCTAAATCCCCAGCAAAATGCTATTTGTTTTTCTTTTTGGTACCAGGGATCGAACTCAGGTCCTTGCACTTGTGAGTCAGGCAGCAGAACCACTGAGCTAAATCCGCGGCCCTCCTCCATAGCTTTTAACCACAACCTTCTCTCACCTCTCAGCTTCACCAACTCTATTCATGTTCTCAGAGCTCTAAACCAGAACGGGAGTGGCCTCTGGGGAGTGCCAAGGTCTACCTGGGAATCCGCAAGAAGTTAAAGCCTCCAACACCGTGAGTTTTCTTCCCGACCCATATTTCTAGGGCCTTCCTGCCATCATCCCTTTGGCCTTAGGGTCACCCCATCATTGTTCCCCTTTGTATTCCAGGTGGGGCTTCACATTGATACTGGAGAAGATGCATCTGTGAGTACCTCCCATCCGGGCTTCTTCTCTGGCCCAGCCTAGTTCCCTGTCTTCTTTTCTCCTCCTTTCCTTCCTCCATTCTTCCATCCCTATAGCTGTGACCGCTTCTCTCCATTAATTCCATTTTGATCCCCTGTAGCTACTTGGCCTGCACTGATGAGAATGAGATGTGGGATTGGACTACCAGCATCCTTAAAGCTCAGGTGAGGGAAGGAAAAGGCTGAGAGCTGGGTCTTTTATCTCTCTCAATACCTCCCTCAATATCTCCACTCAATACCTCCCAAGCCCACTGTTGCCAACCTCTCAATCTTACTAGCATGATGACCAGCAGCCAGTGGTCTTACGACGACGTTCCTCCTCTGACCTTGCCCGTCAGAAGTTTGGCACTATGCCCTTGCTGCCCATCCATGGGGATGACAGTGGAGCCATCCTCCTCTCTGCCAATCAGACCCTGGTGAGCCCCTCCCCAGACCCTATCTGGTCCCTGCCCTTACCCTGTCAAATTCCAGGAGGAGTGGTGTGCCTGCCAGCCTGGTACTCCCCTCTGCTCTCAGTGACCTTCTTGTCCACCTTCTCTGTGCCCCCAGCCTCCACCCCTACCTCCTGTTGCCAGGCCTCACTATGTCTGTTTTTCCCTTCTCTCATCCCCAACCTACATGTGCCCAGCGCCGACTACACAACCGGAGGACCCTGTCCATGTTCTTTGTGAGTACTGTGCCTGCTGCAGCCATGTGCCTGCCAGCCCTGTGTTCCTCTGTGCTCTCTGAGCCCTGGATGTGCTCTTTGTGTCTGTCTGGATGCAGGCCATTTGGGGGTGTGGGGGGGATCAGAAAGAATGAGGAAAATGAGGGATGGTAGGATCCCATGAGGAAAGGAGAAAGTGGTCATAGAATCTGAGAAAGATAAGGAAAGTAGTTAAGTGGACCCATTTTGGAGTCAGGCACACCTGGGTTCAAGCCCCTTACTGTGTGATCTTGGGCAACTTAACCCCTGTGCAACTCAGTTCAGTTTTTTCGCAGTGAAACTACTGCATAGGATTATTTTGACATCATACATGCCAAATATTTTGTAGCATCTGTCCGAGAGGAAGAGCTCAATAAATGTTAGTGGTTAATAATCCAGTAACTAACTCTGTGCCTGCCCCCTGCAACTCCATTACTATACAGCCAATGAAGTCATCACAGGGGTCTGTGGAAGAGCAAGAAGAGCTGGAGGAGCCTGTGTATGAGGAGCCGGTGTATGAGGAGGTAGGGGACTTCCTGGAGCTCACCAAGGAAACCTCCACGTCCTTCTCCACCACACGGGAGTGGACAGCCAAGCCAGAGAGCCCCCTCCCCAGCCAGAAATCCTTCAATCAACCCCTTCTCTCCAAGACAAGCACCCTGGGCTGGGAGGAGAGGCCACCTGAGCCCCCTCCAGGGCCTCCTTCAAAAAGCAGTCCCCAGGGTCCCCGGGGGTCTCTGGAGGAGCAGCTGCTCCAGGAACTCAGCAGCCTCATCCTGAGGAAGGGAGAGACTACCACATGTCCAGGAGACCCTTCCCAGTCATCTAGCCCCAATGGTCTTGCAACACAGACACCTGGCTTCTCCTCCCAACCCCCCTGCACTTCCAGTCTGCCTTCCAGCCAGCCTCTCACATGACCTTGGGACCAGCAGCAGAGGGGGTAGGTATGCAGAGGAGGACCCAGGCTCTCACCATGGTGGACACTGCTGGGGTCTTCCTCTGCTCTGGCTGGAAAGACTAGACTCCAGTATGGTGCTGTGGAAGAAGCACTGGTCTGGGGGCCTGGCAGCTGTGGCTCTGAGGGCAGGTCATAGCTCCTCTGTGGGTGGCCTCAGCCCATTTATCTGTACCATGAAGTCACTGAAATAAGGAGTGAACACCAAACTGTGTTTCTTGGCTGTAAACCTCACATATTTTCTCTCAACAAGGGCAGCTCCTGCTTTATGTATTTGATATGCAAGGGTTTTGTGAGGTTTGGGGTAAAAGAATGTTTTTACTTGAATTAAAGAAAAAAATAGATTTAGAAGCCAGAGACCCGGATGATGTCCAAGGCTATCCTATCCCACTTCCTACATTCTGGGACTACACTGAAGTCCTGGAATGGGGAAATTGGGCTTGGAAGCTGGGGTAAGGGGAGCCAAAAAAGGGTGGGTCACTATTAATAAACCTTGGAACCAAAAGGCTACCATTCTTTTATTCATTCATTCAATAAATATGTTTTGAGTACCTAATTGGTGCCAGGTCTAAATGAAGTCCCTGTTCTTATCCAGCCCCCACAGTAGAGAAGAAACAAAAAAATAGAAAACATGTGAACCAAGTGAGTTTAGCGCTGTGAAGAAACTATATCAAGTCATGAACTTAAATGACAGGAGGTGGCCTATACCCTGGGCGGATGGGGAAGGAAAGTCTGGGGAGCTGAAACACGGGTAAGAGTCCAGACAAGTTGGGTACTGGGAAAAGGAGCTTCAGAAAGGGCACAGATGCTGTGCAGAGGAAAAGGAGTTGGCCTGTCGGGGGATAGGAAAGAGGCTAGAGTGAGGGGAGCACAGCAAGTGACCAGTGGGAGAAGAGTACCAGGGGAATGGGAAGGTCAGCGGGGGCCAGTCACAGTTCTATTTGGGTTCTATTTGGATTTCAGGTAGTTGGATTTTATTTTGAAGCAATTGCATTTTAAGCAAGAGAAGGATGAGATCTTACTTCCCTTTCAAAAACAAAAAAATCAATCATTGGCTGCTTTGTAAAGTGTGTTGTGGGAGGAAACCGGGAAGCTAAGGAGACCAGATATTAGACCAGAAAACTGATAATGGGGGCTTGGACTAGGGTGGTGGTCTTAGAAATTGAAGGAAGTGGATCAATAGGAGCATGTTTTTGGCTTGGGGTTTTTTTGGTTTGTTCAGTTTTTGTTTTTTCTTTTAATAGAACCTGTAGGATGAGCTGATGGATGGAATATAGGGGTAGAAGAAAGGGCACACTAACTCCTGGGCTTTGACTTTCCTAACTGGAGGGAGTGTGGTACCACTTAACATTAGCTGAGGGAAGATCAGGTTGAAGGGGCTGTTTTAAAAATTTGCAGTACCTATTTAAATATTAGTGGAGGTGTCGGTGTTTGGATTTGTGAATCTTTGAGCCATGTCACGGGTGTAGGGACCTGGGTACAGGCCAAGGAGGCTTTGGTGAGGAGAATGGGGAAAGATTCGAGGATCCTCAGTAGTGTTAGGGTTGGTAGATCTTGGGGTTGGTAGATCTTGAAATTCCCTGAAGCTTTCCATGCCATAGGCCCCACGTGCATTATCCAAGCTCATGCCCCCTCGCTGGTATCGGTTAGTGTCCAGTGGAGCCCAGGATGTACCTGTCTTTTCCTCTGGGCCTGGTTCCTTCTTGACTCCAAGCATCTTTCTCAATCTTCTCACTCTTGCTTTTCCAGTTTAGCAAGAATTAGGAAGAGGTATCAGACCAGCCCTGTCTCCCTTCGTCAGATGCATCTTCGCTCAGGTGTCCGTGACTCAGTTTCCCTGGTCACCTTTTGAGTTTCTTGCCATTCTCACCCAGGTACTGATGATATGCATATGAAAATGAATGACTAGATATAATTACAGGCTGAATCAGTAGCTACCCTAGAAATAGAACCCAGGCGTCTTCACTCAGAAGCCCAGAGTTCTCCCTACCGCCCAGCAGACGCTGCGTCGTCCGCCCCGCGGCCCGGGCACTTCCTGGGTATTCGCAGCAATAACAGAGGCTGAGGTCCTCTGCAGACCCCGCGCGTTTCCTCGCCGAGCTGGATACGGCGTGGGCGGGGCGAGGGCGGATCCGAGCCAGGTCAGGGGTGGGGCTCCGTCGTGGGCCGGGCCTTCTCGAGTTCCGGAGTCGAGTCGCTGGCAGCCTCCACCGGAGCGGGGATGCAGCCACCGCCCCGAAAAGTGAGATTGGCTTGGGAATGGAGACTCCTGTCGGGCCGGGGGAGTGGGGGGAACCCAAGGGGCACCGGCCTGGGGAAAGAAAGCGGGGTCGGGAAGCAGACCTAATCCTGAAGTAACCGAGGATACAGCTCAGCCCTCCTCGGCCCCGCCCCCTCATCGCTCCCCGCGCCCAGTGTTTTTTAGGTCCCCACGCTTGGGGTCTTCATCCTTCCCTGAATCCCATAGGTGAAGCCAGCCCAGGAGGTGAAGCTTCGCTTCCTGGAGCAGCTGAGCATTCTTCAGGCTCGGCAGCAAAAGGAGGCGGATCTGCTGGAGGACATCAGGTAACCCCTGACCTCTCACCTTCACGTACCCCAGCCTTTGCCATAGCGCGCGCCTCTCCGGCCCTAACCTCCCTCTGCCAGGGTTCGGAGGGGGTGTTCCCCGGGGTGAAGAGCCCTCCAACTTACCATTCACGGCCCTCACCCTAGGCCTACCTCTCTAGATATTGGAAATACACACATGTAAACACACGGGGATCGCTCTCAAACCCTTCACTCCACAACACACACCTACCCCACAGTCGAGCTTAGGGCAGAATCCCCTCCCTCTTCTAGACCTGCTGGAAGGCTGGTGGACACTATTCCTGGCCCCCATCAATCCTCACCGCCAAGCCCACAGATGGTCCTCCAGGGGTGGGGAGGATCCTGCTGGGGCTCTGAGCAATGAGGTGAGGCTGTCTTGTGCTGTGGCTGCCTGAAGTGATCTCAAGGACTGTCTCTTCAGTGCCATTCCCTCAGAGTGTAGCCACACTCTGGACTGGCTCCCCCTTTCCTCCTGCCCACGCAGAAGAGAGGATTGAGGGTGGGATAACATGACCAACTACAGGTAATCTACACCTCATTTGACAATCTCCACAGATCCTACAGCAAGCAGAGGGCAGCCATTGAACGGGAGTATGGACAGGTATGGGATTCTTCTCTGGAGCTTCCTTCTTGTTCCATCCTTCTGTATCCCTTCCTTTATTGTGGTCAAGAACAAATGCCTAGAATCAGGCTGACTTGTGTCAAATCGTTATTGTGCTACTTACTAGCTGGGTGATCTTGAACATGTTACTTAACATTTCTTGGCCTCACTTTTTTTCTGTGAAATGGGAATGATTATATTACCTTACTTGCTGGGCATGTTAGTGCATGCCTGTAATCCCAGCACTTGGGAGGCTGAGGCAGAAGGATCACCACAAGTTTGAGGCCAGCCTGGGCTACATAGTGAATTCTAGGCCAGCCTGAACTACAGAGCGAGACCCCTCTCTCAAAACAACAACAATAATACTTTACTTTCATGTAGGGTTGTTGTAAGGATTAAATACTGTAGTGAGTAAAAGGCATTTAGCAAAGCAAGTAGTACATCTTCTACATCCAAAGAATGGTATACTCTGGTCCTGTGTTCTCCCAGTTGGGGAGGGTCTTAGAAAGGAAACTGAGCCTTCGATGGCTTTCTCTGCAGGCACTCCAGAAGCTGGCTGGGCCATTCCTGAAGAGGGAAGGGCAGCGGAGCGGGGAGATGGACAGCAGGTGGGTCTCACAGAGGCAGAGGGCCACAGGGCCCCAAAAGTGATGGGGAGCTCAGTCCCTGAGACCTGTGGGGATGAAGGCCTAGTGAGGGGGCATGTGACCTGCAGATAGAGCTGACACAGCAGCGGGAGAGGAGCTGACACAGCAAGGACACTGTGGGTGGAGGTGGAGGGCATGAGTGATCCTGTGGCTGAGCTAATGGCCTGATCGATTGATGGGCTTCCAGACGAGGGGGGAAGGGAAAGCACTGTGTCTCGCATGGTGTTGGGGGCATCTCATGAAGCTGCGGAGTGTTCCCCTCTTCAACACAGACCTTCTCTGGGGAGGGACAGGACAGTGTTTGCTGCCTGGCGCTGCCTGCTGGATGCCACTGTGGCAGGAGGCCAAACTCGGCTCCAGGTGTCTGACCGATTCCGTGACCTAGCAGGGGGCACAGGGCGGAGTGCCAAGGAGCAGGTGCTTAGAAAGGTATGGTTAAATGTATGGGGTGAAGGAAGAGCTGGTTGGGGGCTGGAGGTGGCCTGGGCCAGGACTTTGTGTGTTCATGCCACTAGGGAACAGAGAGCCTCCAGAAGGCGCAGGCTGAGGTGCTGCAGTCTGTCCGGGAGCTGAGCCGAAGTCGGAAGCTATACGGGCAGCGGCAGCGTGTGTGGGCCTTGGCACAGGAGAAAGCAGCTGATGTCCAGGCCAGGTGAGCTCATGGGAGGTTAGGAGGCCTGAGCTGGGGTCCTGGGGAGGTGAGGGGTGGAGCCAAAGCATCAGAGCTGGGCCTGACACCAGTTCCTCTCCCTCACCTGCACAGGCTGAATCGAAGCGACCATGGGATCTTTCACTCTAGGACCAGTCTCCAGAAACTGAGCACCAAGGTTCGGAGGAAGAAAGCATGAGCGGGGCAGAGTAGTCTAGTGGTTTGGAATCCAGCGGCAAAAGTATAAGAGAATGGGTTGAGTCCAGACTCTCCTACTTCCTAGGTGGGTCACCATGGTTAATTTCTTGATTTTTGTAAGCCCCATTTTCTTCATCTAAGCAGTAGAAATAATACTTTTCTTTTTCATTCCTTTAATATGTACTTTTCAAAGATCTTTGTGTATGAGGCACTGTTCTATCATTGGGGATACAGTGGAAAACATGACTATTGGAGTTCTTGCTCTCACAGCCTGGTCGAGGGAGACAGAGTATATAAATAAATAATCATGGGCCCGGGACTGGCTCAGTGGTTCTGCCACCTGCCTTGAAAGCACAAGGTTCTGAGTTTGATCCCTGGTACCAAAAAAAAAAAAAAAAAAAGAATAAATAATCAGATGAAGATGGAAATAAAAAAGGTGCTATGATGAAGGGTAGCAAAGGGGTATAATCTAGAGAGAAGGCCTCTCTGAACAAGTGGCCTGAGTATCAAGAAGGAGCCAGCCACGGTGCACGCCTGTAATCCCAGCACTCGGGATGCAGAGGCAGGAGGATCACTGTGAGTTTGAAGCCAGCATGAGCTACATAGTGAGACCCTGTCTCAAAAAAAGAAAAGAAAAGAAAAGAAAGGAGCCAGCCAGCCATGCAAAGATATAGGTGAAAAACATCCTGGGGAGAGAAAATGGTGAGTGCAAAGGCCCTGAGGTGGAAATAAGTTTGGAGAGTCAAGGAACTGAGAGAAGGCCAGTGTGCCTAGAGCACTGTGGGCAAAGGGACAGGCAATTAAAAGAGAGGTTATAGGGGTCAGCTTATGTTGGTCCTGGTATATCACTGTTAGCAACACTTCGGACTTTATTTTAGACATACATGGAAGCCACTAGAGCACAAGTGTCCAGTCTTTCTACTTGCCTTGGCCACAAGGAGTGAAGAGGAATCGTCGTGGGCTGCATATAAAATATATATAGTTAATGTATATAAGTAACAAAACTTCCTTTTAAAAAATAGGATAACATAAACATAAAACTAGTGGGATATTTGACCTTGTTTTTTTTTTTTCTATTGCGGTACTGGGGACTGAATTCAGGACTTTGCGCTTGCCAGGCAGGCCTGGTGCCACTGAGCTATATCCCCAGCCCCTTAACCTTGTTTTTGTGAAACTAATGTATCAGTGTCTGGTTTGATGGCAGTGGTTGGAACTCTTAGTGAGTTCTCAAGGTACTCATCAGAAATTTGGGGTTTACTTTTATTCTTTGTATGCTTCATCTTTGACAGTAGTTGTTTACAAGTGTACTGACTGTGTGTGGCAGGCATGGGAGGCAGAATTAGCACTGCACTGTGCCCTCCCCTAGACAGCATTCCATTGTTGTTGCCTATTGTGGAGCACCGTGCAGTTGAGTCATGAAAACTATTGACAGAAATCACATAATAATGCTAAATATTATTAAAATAATGTTTACAATATTACGGGGTCACATGATTAGCTGTTCAGGGCTGCATGTTGCCTGCAGGCTTTAGGTGGAATGTGCCTACACTACAAGGTTTTGAGCAGGAGTTGTATGTGACATTTTTAGTATAGTGCCAAGCACCTAGTAAGTATTCGATAATGTGGGAACCCATGCTGGATCTGGGTTTGGTTCACCTTGGGCCCAAGGCTCCTGTTGACACCTCTTTTCCCCTCTTAGCTATCTGCCCAGTCAACCCAGTACTCCCAGCAGCTGAGAGCAGCCCGCAATGAATACCTGCTCAACTTGGTAGCCACGAACGCCCACCTTGACCACTACTACAAGGAGGAACTGCCAGCTTTGCTCAAAGTCAGTCCTAACCCAGATTACCCCTGCCTCTCACAAGTGGGAGGGCCACTTCCCATAAGACTGGCTGATGTGGGGATTTAGCTCAGTGGTTCTGCCGCCTGCCTCACAAGTGCAAGGTCCTGAGTTTGATCCCTGGTACCAAAAAAAAAAAAAAAAAAAAGTCTTCAAGACTGGCTGATGCTCCTGACTGGCTTGCTCAGAGTGGGTAGAAGATGCATACTTGGGTTCTTGTTCTGATTCTAGCTGTTTGTGTGACACCATACAGTGCATTTAACCCCTCTGAGCCCCACATTCCTCATCAAGATTAACCCCAGTTCTACCTACCTCATACATTAATGAGGTTCAAAAGAAGAGAATGGATGTAAGAGTGTTTTTTAAACTGTTAAATGGGGTTGGGGTGTAGCTCTATAGTAGAGCACTTGCCTAGCATGTACAAGGCCCTGGGTTCCATCCCCAGCACTACAAAATAAACGAATAGTTAAGTGGTGTACATACAAGAGGGCCTACATCAGTAGTAGTAATAATGTCTTACTCCTTTCCTCTTTCCTACCCTTCATGTCCATCCCTCACCCAAACCCTGCACAGAGACTGTGCCTTGCAGTAGAGGCCTGGGGGAAGGGTGGTGTCAGTATCCTGGCTTTCTCTTCAGGACCTGGTCAGTGAGCTGCTGGAACACTTGAGGGACCCCCTGACCTTACTGAGCTGCACTGAGCTGGAAGCTGCAGAGATGGTCCTGGAGCATGCCCACCATGGGGGGCAGGCCATCTCCCAGGTGAACTCCCCTAGAGATCCTCACCACCCTTTTCTCCTAACACTGTATGTCTGCTCCTTTCCTTTGCACCTTGCCCTCTTTCCTTCTTGAGGTACTGGGGACAGGGTTGGACAGGGGGCTTGTGAGTGGGTGATCATGCCTTTTTTTGCCCCAGGTAAACTGGGAGCACGATGTGAAGCTATTTCTTCAGGAGCCTGAAGTGTTTTCCTCTACCCCACCTCAGCAGTTTCAGCCAGCTGGGGCTGATCAGGTGAGATGTTCTTGATTGTTGGAACAAGGCCAAATATAAACAAAACTATGATTTAGCCCTCCCACTTTGTATTAACTCATCTGCTATTGAACCTTGCAGAAAGAATTCCAGTTCTCTCCCTCCCACCATGACACACAAACATACCTTAGTTCACTATTCAGGCTCTTTACTGCACTATCCTCTCCATTCCATCCCTGTTCATCTCCTGGGATCCCATTTCTAGGACTCTGTGGGCCCAAACATATATATGTGTCTGTGTCCATAGACATAGGCATGTGTCCCCACCTCTTTGTCCCTGTCCTTGGAGGTCAAGACAAAAGAGAGATAAAAGGAGGTAATTGGAGAAGAGGCACAATCTCAGGTCCTCCTCACAGCACATCCATCCCATTCAGGTGTGTGTGCTGGAAGGGAGAGCAGAAGACACAGCTGGGGGAAGTAGCCTAGAGAAAGAGATCCAGCGCTGGTCGAGCCGAGCTGCCCGGGACTACAAGATCCAGCACCATGGACATCGGGTGAGGTGGGGGTGCAGGTGTTGTGGGTGGGTAAGAAATGCTGAGGGATGGGGATCCTTGGAGTCCTTGGGGTATCATGGTACTGCAGGTAGGAGGGGAGGGAAGGGTATTTTAACACAGAAGTGTGACACAGTGGTAAGAGCATAGCTTTTGGAGCTAAACTAACATGGGTTGTTTTCTGTTGCTTTCAAGTTCTATAACCTTGAGTAAGGAAGTGACTTCACCTCTCTGGACTTGTTTCCTCATTGCTAAAGTGAGGCCAATAGTAACACCCACTTTATAGGGAAGATTAAGTGACAATGGAAGTGATTCAGCTAGCAAAGTACCAGGCCCAGAGTAAGCTCTGGTCTGCTGTGGCTCCACCTGCCTTCCTCTTCCCCATCAGGTGCTGCAGCGTCTAGAGCAGAGGCGCCAGCAGGCTCCAGGGCGTGAGGCTCCAGGAATAGAGCAACGGCTACAGGAAGTGAGGGACAGCATCCGGCGAGCACAGGTGAGGCTCAGTCCTGGGCTCAGAGCTACGGAGAGCCCTCCTTTGGCAGCCCACTCTTCTTTCAGATGGGAGGAATGGGGGGAACCAGAGGGTGGACAGTTGGTCAGGCTCCACCAACTCCCTTCCTCCTCATGCCAGGTGAGCCAGGTGAAGGGGGCTGCCAGGCTGGCCCTGCTGCAGGGGGCTGGCCTGGATGTGCAGCACTGGCTGAAGCCAGCCATGACCCAGGCCCAGGATGAGGTGGAACAGGAACGACAGCTTAGTGAGGCTCGGCTGTCCCAGAGGGACCTCTCTCCTACGGTGAGTGCTCTCCCCAGCCATACATACTCAGGAGGGCATAACTACCCAGTGGAAGGCACACCCTCTAAAATGGGAATCAGAGCAGTACGTAACTTATAGGGCTTAACTGAGATGATTCGTGTAAGGTATTTGCATAGTTTCTGGCACAGAAAGTCTTCAGTAAACTTTCATTATGATGTAATGGTTCAGAACTCAGGTTCTGGAAGCTGTCTAAATGATTTGAGTACCAGCCACTCCACTTATTGGCTTCAAAAGTAAAATGAGGTTCATAGTGCAAAATAACAACGGGGTTATTATGAAGAGTAAATGCAACAATATACATAACATATTTAACATTGTGCTGGACACATATTAAGGACTCGGCTGCTATTACTTAGTATCATCTTGCTCTGTGGTGATTTTGGTTATGAGACATGGTGGTTGGCTGGGGGGTACTACCTTGGAGGAGGATTCCTAGTGTCCTTTAGGGGTCAGGTGGAGGAGTAAGGCCCCATAATTATGTGTCCTCTGTCCTTCTCCAGGCTGAGGATGCTGAGCTTTCTGACTTCGATGAATGTGAGGAGACAGGGGAGCTCTTTGAAGAGCCTGCCCCACCAGCCCTAGCCACCAGGCCCCTCCCCTGCCCTGCACATGTGGTGTTTGGCTATCAGGTGTGAATGGGATTTGGGACTTCAGACTGGGCAACAGTAGGTGATAACCAAATTGTGAATCCTTCCTTGTGGGGCTTTTAGGCAGGCCATGAGGATGAGTTGACCATCATGGAGGGTGAGTGGCTGGAGGTCATAGAGGAGGGAGATGCTGATGAATGGGTCAAGGTGCGTATGGGACCCTGATTCTGACCTTGGGTTGGGGGCAGTGGGAGGACTTCTCTATGGCCCCCAAGGAAGGACCCATCCAGGCAAAGCTAGAAGCCTGAGTGGAGAAGAGCAAGGGCCATGGACTACAGAGGAAAGTCTGATGTCCATTTGTTTTGCTGGGTGAGCAGGCTCGGAACCAGCATGGTGAAGTAGGCTTTGTCCCTGAGCGGTATCTGAACTTCCCGGATCTCTCCCTTCCTGAGAGCAGCCATGACAGTGACCATCCCTCAGGGGCAGAGCCCACAGGTAAGAAAGAAATTTCTGGGCCGGGGATTTAGCTCAGTGGTTCTGCCGTCTGTCTTGCAAGCGCAAGGACCCAAGTTCGATCCCTGGTACCAAAAAAAAAAAAAAGAAAGAAAGAAAGAAATTTCTGGGTTCAGGGACCCTGGATATGGAGACAAATTGTTAGTCTTAGGGTATCACGGATCTAGGGTACTACCATCTCATTCCTTTTCTCATCATTTCTTCTGGGCTTCTGCAGCATTCCTGGCCCGAGCCCTGTACAGCTACACTGGCCAAAGTGAAGAAGAGCTGAGCTTCCCTGAGGGTGCGCTCATCCGCCTGCTGCCTCGGGTCCAGGATGGAGTAGATGATGGCTTCTGGCGGGGAGAATTTGGGGGCCATGTTGGGGTCTTCCCTTCCCTGCTTGTGGAGGAGCTACTTGGCCCTCCTGGCTCCTCTGAACTCTCTGACCCTGAACAGGTGAGGTTTCATTCTCCCTGTGTTCCCAGGTACCTCTGAGTTGACCCTTTCACTCTAGTAAGGCCCAAGTTTATCTCCTGTGGTGGCTTGGGCCTTCCCATCTCCTTTGGCAGAGAAAAGGGAAACCAAGGCAATCTTCATGGGAGTTTGGGAGACTTTAGTGCTAGACAGACCTGAGTTCACATTTCTATTGCATGACCTTGGGCAGTGACTTAATCTCTCTGAGCTTGTTTCTTCATCATAAAATGGAGATAATACCTGCCTTAGCAGGCTCACTGTCATGACGAGAAATAATAGGGGTAGAGTTCTTAGCCCTGCAGGACATAGGAGGTACTTAAATTGTGATGCTATTGTCATGATACAACAGGGAGAGCTTAGGACTGGAAGTTAGGAGACTCATGTCTAGAAGTCAGCATTCTTTTTTTTTTTAATTCGGTACCGGGGATCGAACTCAGGCAGGCGCAGTGCCAACAAGGTAACTCCTTGGCCTGGAGCGAGCATCCTGATCACACTCAGACAGATGGCTTACCCTGAAACTCACCTCTGACAGAGGAGTCATAAAAATGCTTGCCTCAGCCATGCATGGTGTCACAGGCCTGTAATGCCACCACAAAGGAGGCTGAGGCAGGAGGACTGCAGTGAGTTCAAGCCCGTCCTGGGCTACATAGTGAATTCAAGGCCAGCCTGAACTATATAGCCAGACAGTCTTAAAAAAAGAAAAGCCTGGGCTGGGGATTTAGCTCAGTGGTTCCACTGCCTGCCTCACAAGTGCAAGGTCCTGAGTTTGATCCCTGGTACCAAAAAAACCCAAAAAACAAAAAAGAAAAGCTTATCTCCTGCGTTGTTTGTGAAGATTGAATGAAACCCTGTGTAAATACAAGCATTTGGCCACTTCCTTTATTGGGAATTGATGGGACAGGAATTGAAGGTGGGATGAAAAGAGCTGGTGAGCCAGGCATGGTAGCACACACCTGTAATCCCAGACTTGGGAGGCTGAGGCAGGAGGATGGTTGTGAGTTTGAGGCCAGCTTGAGCTACATAGCGAGACCCTTTCTCAAAAAAATAAACAGGAGGCTGGGGATTTAGCTCAGTGGCACTGCATCTGCCTTGCAAGTGCAAGGTCCTGAGTTCAATCCCCAGTCCCCAAAACAAAAACAAACAAACCAAAACAAAAAAGAGCTAGTGAAAGTTTCCCACATGCCAGGAATAACTCTTGTGTCTACCCTGGCACCAGATGCTGCCATCTCCTTCGCCTCCCAGCTTCTCCCCTCCTGTACCCACCACTGCCTTGGATGGACCTCCTGTACCTGTCTTGCTTGGGGGTGAGTAGGGGGATTGGGGGTCCCAAAAGTATAAGAGATGCGAGGAGCAAGCTTGGAGTCTAAGGTCGTAACTCTGCTTCTCTGCATGGCCTCAGTGCACCTTGCAATAGGGTCCACTACAGATTGATGGAGGAGTTGGGATTTGGAGTCAGGCTGACCTGGCTCAGACCCTGCTCTGTCACTTCCTGGTATGTGACTTGATGTGGGATATTTAACCTGTCTCTTCCTCCTTTTATGTCCTTTATAAAGTGAGGACAAAGGTACTACTTTGTTGGATGATTATGAGTTTAAAAAGATATCTATAGTGTATACAGCATTGTGCTTGGGACATAGTAAAGCATGCAAGTAGTAGCTGTTTTATCGTTGTTTTTAAAATTACCTACCTTCTCTCGCTGTATTCCCCCAAAATGTATCCTTTGCTCTTAGTGTCACTGGACCATGAAAATCCCTAGCTTTGTGTATTCCTTTTACATTGTGACTTTTTTTTTTTTTTTTTTTTTGTGGTGCTAGGGATGGAACCCAGGACCTTGCTAGGCAAGGACATGCTAGGCAAGCATTCCACTACTGAATTATATCCCCAGTCCCCCCTTTTCCCTTTTTCCTCTTGGAATATCCATCTTTACTAAAACCTTCTGCAACTTCCACCTTCTCCACAGTCACCCTCCCTGACCCTCCTGGAGTCACCACCATATCCAGCACCCTAGTTCATTTTGAATGACTTAGCACTCAGACATTCATTGTGTTTGTTTGTCCCCCACCCAAGCACTGGGTATTGAACTCATGGGCATTCTACCACTGAATTACATTCTCAGCCATTTTATTTTTTTATTTTCAAACAGTGTCTTGCTAAATTGCCCAAGCTGGCTTTGAATTTGCTATCCTCCTGCCTCAGGCTCTCGGTAGCTAGGATTTACAGGCATGTGGCATCATGCCCGGCCCATTGTGGTTTTTTTTTGGTACCAGGGATTGAACTCCGGTCCTTGCACTTGCAAAGCAGGTAGTGAAACCACTGAGCTGAATCCCCGGCCCTCCATTGTGTTTTTGATGTTTCATTATTGGGTTCTTGAGAGGCATTGGGAGGGAGGACATTGTGTATCCCACCTGCCTTTTTTGGTACCTTGATCAAAGCTGATCATGTAGCAGTTGCCCAATAAATACTTGTTGAGGATGGATGAATTGATGGAGTTTATGGCTCAGGTTGGTGACTCTCTGTTGATCCAGCAAATACTTATGGAGTATCACTACCCTGAGTGCTGGAAATGCAGCACTGAAAAACAAAGCCTAAACATTGGCTGTGGTTCTTGTTTCCAGACAAAGTCTTGGACTCCCCTGGACCCCTGGACATGATAGCACCTCGACTCAGACCGGTAAGGGTCCTATCCTAGAGGTTGTATACAGAGGAATAATTTTGACTTGTCCTGTTTTTTCTGCTGGGCTGGGGGAATGGACAGGGATATCCCGAGAGAGGACTCTAGAGCACTAATTGTGTGTTCCCTACAGGTGCGGCCACCACCTCCCCCACCGGCTAAAGCCCCAGACCCTGGCCATCCAGATTCTCTCACCTGACAGCCATGGGGTTCACTGCCCCCCCAGTGATGCTGCTGCCCCTCCCTATCTCCATGCTTTCAGACTACCCCCTCAATGATCTGGAGCGACACAGCCAGAAGCTGGAATCTCCACCATGTCTACTCTCACTTCCAGGGATAGAAGTTTCTCCTTTCCCCTTATTGGGCCAGAATCCACTCCTTTTCCCCATTGTCCTACTGCCATTTTTAGGGCTGGAACTATCCCTGTCTTCTGCCATCACCCTGTCTCTAGGGTGGTGAAATACCCCCAAATCTCTGGAGCTGGAACCCTCCTTCCAAAGTCTTGAATGGCTCTGGCCCACCTCTGTCTCCACTTTGGCTGTGTGGCCCACCCCACTCTGGATGCCAGGGTAACTGGGGTTGGGTCCAGAAAAGGAGCAGCCTTGGGAGTCACACGGAGCTGGAGCCAGTATGCAGAGCAGCTGTAATGGTCTGAGCGGATTTATTGACAGTGAATAAAGGGCACGAAGGCCAAGTCAGGGCCTGGACCTCTTGTGCCAAGAGAGCAGGATCCCTAAGGTGCTATTGCTTTAGGGGCCCACCAAGGGCAGGGCCCTGGCAAGGTGTTGGGGAAGGCAGGCCAGGTAGCCTATTGGCAGGTAAAGGATGTGGAAAAGAATGTGGGGCCAGGAGTGTGGGTAACTTCTCCAATGGTCGCCCAGGCTGAGACCATGCAACTCAAGGTGGAAGTAGAGCTGGTCCTTCAACTGGGGGGCAGTGCTATCCAGCAAAGGGGAGGGCCTTCATGCCCACTCTTTCCCTCACTCTGCCCGCTGGTAGTCCATCAGTACAATGAAGGAAGATGCTTGGAGGAGAGGAAGGGGAACAGTGTTGCTTCCTGTTCAAGTTCTATCCCAACTTTTCTCTAGAGTATACACCCACTCCCCACCACCAACCGAGGAAATTTGTAGCACAGGCTAAGGCTGCACTTCACCCTGGGGGTTCAGGGAGCTGAGAGCTGATAAGTTTAAAGAGTTTAGGTGAGGGGACAAGATTACCTGATTTGGGGTTCAGGTAGACTCCCCTCATATACCTTCTGCATCCTGTGATGGAGACACCTGTGAGGAAGGGGAGGTGTCAAAAATGGGAACAGGAAGTGGGTCATTATCAGTGATCCCCAAAGAAATGTAAAATAAAACTGAGCCCACTGCAGCCCTAGCCACATCTTCATACCTGGTGATCTGAGGTGTCCAGTTTGTTTGGTTGTTCATTTGCCCTTTGACTGGGCAGCCTTGGGCTTGGGTCTCTCCCTCTGGCCCCCAGTGTTGACTCTGCAGAGATCCCAGGGTTTCCCTCACGTGCACAAGGGATAAGAGTGCTGTCCCTGAGTCCTCCATTCTGCACTGGGGGGCTAGCTAGGGCCTGGGGCTGCAGCTCCTCAGGAGGCAGTCTCTCGATGGCAGGCGTTCCTGCCCTAGGCTGGCCTCCCCCAGACCCCTGAACACCCTTTAGGTCCTGCCCCCCGCCAGAGCCCCAGCTCCTGTCCGTAGGGGAACCATCACGATGCTCATGTAGCCCATAGCGCTTCTCAATGTGTGTCACCCGGAACCTGGGAGGGAGAGAACATTGGGGCTCAGGAGCACAACTCAGGCTGCCAGGCCCTCCCCTCTGACTAGAGACATTCTGTGCTTGATGGCCACTTCTCTCTGGCCTAGGTTGGGGGAGGTCTTTTCAGATCATGGGGCATATTGTGCAGCCTGACTCTTGCTGTGGCTCCCACTCCAGAAGGAAGGAGCTGGGGCCCACCTTTGGGGTCAGGTGCCTGATCATTGTGATCCCTACCTCAAGCTGCATTTCCCTAGAGCATTATATTCCCACCTGCCCACAGAGAATACAGTGGTCTCCCCAGCTCGGGGGTGGCTTTTTCCTTCTTTGGATCGGCCCTGACGGACAAGTGGGGGCCTCTTGCTGCGGCTGCAGTGGATGCAAGGAGCTGAAGAGCCCAGATGCACTGTGTGATGATGGGAAGGGGCTCCATCTTGCAGGCTGGAGGTGGCATCCACGCTGGACAGTAGGGAGGAGGGGAACAGAAACATTTTTATTTTCTTTCCGGTTCTGTTTCCTCCTGTTCTTTCAGCATGCTCTTTAAGCCTCCAGAAGCCCCACATACCCCCCAGCCCCAAAATCCTTTTGTCTTTATCTAATAAATTCAGTATTAAGATGTGAGTGACCATGTGTTCTTCTTTCCAGCCCTGTGCGCTAAAAAAAAAAAAAAAAAAAAAAGGTTAATGCTTAACCGAAAAGAGTGACAATAGAGGTGACTGTTAGGCTTGATGATATCTGGATGGGAGACATGGTTTGAAGGACTAGAAGTTGCTACAGAACTTCCTTCTTCCTGTAGGGTAGCTAGCCTGGCCCTCTCCCAACCCCAAGTGTGCAGTGAGGCTGGGAGAGGCTTGTGCTGGAGGAGAGGATACTCTCCAAGGCAAGCTCAGTCATGCTGGCCCTGTTTCCAGCTCACCTGGAGAGCTGCACTGTCCCTTCTCCTTCACTGTCCCCCAGCATCTCCTTCAAGGCCTCAGCATTGGCTGAGGGGGTAAGGAAAAGAGGGAGTCAGTGGAGGTAGAGGTCAAGGCAGGAGCAAGACAGGGTGGGAGGGAACAAGGGGTCAGCCTGTACCCACCTTCATTTTGAATGATGCAGCGAACAATCCTCTCTACTGTGTCCTCATTCACATCATCGTCCTCAGCTGAAGGATGAAAGAGATTGGCAAGGGAGCAGAAAATGAGTCAGCTTTGGGGGAACATGACCTGACAGCCCTCAAGGCCCATTGCTCAAGACATATCCCTTTACCTATTTGCCATCATGTTGGACTTGAGCATTTCAGGGGCCAGAAAAGATGAGGAAGTCAATGGGAGCCCAACACTACTACATCAGTGACCATTTCCTGCCCATGCTGCCTTCTCTAGCCTTGCTTTCAAGGTGGTGTCACCCTACTTACTGACTCAAAAAAATCATCCCTAGGCTTCCTGTAGGCTGGATCAGGATTTGGCCTGGGTCTGTTGTTCACGAAGGCAGAAAGAGGTGTGGGGAGAGGGATAAGGGAAAAAGGCGACTGAGCCAGGGTTTCAGGCTCCTCACTCACGGGGCTGAAGCTGGGCGTCGTCAGGCTCGGAGGCCCTAGACGTGCGGCAGCGGTAGCCTTTCTTCTTGAGCACGTGGCAGATCATGAAGCCTACAAGGCCCATGAGGAAGAAGACCAGCACAAGCAGGAAGAGCATGTACAGCCCATGTTGGGGCGGCTCCAGGACAGGCTGTGGTTCCGACATGAGGCCCTGGGGGGCGAGCGCGGGCCAGGGCGCCTCCTGGGTTTAGGGGGCTGCAGCTGAGGTTGGGGGAGGAGTACAAACGATCTTCAGGATCCCCATCAGGTACTCCGGTCCCACCCCGTACCCAACGAGGGAGCTGTCCGGGCCAAGGGTGCTGGTTGGCCAAGACCGCCCAAGGCTGGAGGCCAGAAGGAGGCTGCACAAGCCCTCTGCCACTATACTGGTTCCTCTTCCCTGACACCCAGACCGGTACCCCTTCCAGCTCAACCCGAGCTTTAGTCCCTCCCAAGGACACTGCAGCACAGCATGGGACTAAATTCTCAAGTGGCCAGCGTAGAAATCGCGCCTGAGTCAGCGTCCGCACCTCCTCTAGGCCGGCCTGAGCCAGGCCTTCTGCAGCAGGCCCCCCCCCAACACCTTTTCGTTTCCTCCCACCCTGATCACCTGGCCCACCCGGTACCGGTGCTTTGGTTCAGGCTCCGGCTCCGATTCTGGCTCCAGGGGCGTCCTAGTCCGGCTCAGGGGCCCCGATGCCCTCCCGGTGCTCATCCCTTGATTCCTCCCCCTTCCCCGGCTCCCGGCTGTGGCTGCGGATACCGGTGCCGCGGCAGACCGGGGGGGGGGGGGGGGGCGAGGGGATGGCGGGCGATGCGGGCTGGTTGGGAGACGCGGCAGGCTCTGGATAACTCCAGCCCTGGCAAAGGGAGGAGCTGGGGGGTGCTTCGGCCGCCGCCCTGGATTCCCAAATGCGTTTTCCTGTCGCCAGCCTGGGACTAAGGGGCGGAGCGCAGGTGTGCTGGGGGGAGAGCGTAAGCCTCGCGCGCGTGACCGCGCCGGGCCCTCCCCCTGAAAAGAATGTGTGGCGCCCAGTCTGGGTCCGCGTGGCGGGCAGGAGGTCAGGCGGAGGTTGCCTCCGCTGGTCTGTCTGGCAAGCCTGGCGCACCTCCTTCCCTCTGGTACCCGGGACGAGCGGCTGGCCAGGAGTCTTCCCAGCCGGCTGGGAGAAGGACAGCGTGGCCGGATCCTCGCAGCTTCTTAGGTGACCACGGCCTGCGCCCCTTTGGGGCAGGCGGGTGGACTGGAGGGCTCCGTTTTCCTAGGATTTGACCCCCGCCTGGGAAGAAATGGCACTCGCATCCTAGGAATCCGGCCACCCCTTCCCAGCCGAAGCCAGGTCGTTCACGCCCCAGAAACTAGAAGCCAGGCGAGGCGAGGGGCGGAACTCCCGCAGGGGGCGTGGCCGGGAGGCGTGGCCTAAGCCTCCCCCGGAGGCAGACTGCGTGCTTGCGCAGCACGCACGACTGGGGGTGGGGCTGTCGGCCGGCGGGCGGCGGAGGCGTGGGGCCTTCTCCTGCTGGCACCATGGCCAAGACTGTGGCCTATTTCTACGACCCCGACGTGGGCAACTTCCACTACGGTGAGGGAACAGAGTTTTGCGCAAGGGATCGGGACGCAAAGGTTTTGAGGCAAGGGCTGCAACTCCAGGGGTGGGCACTGAGGAACTCTCATCTCCCCACCCCCAGGAGCTGGGCACCCTATGAAACCCCATCGACTGGCGTTGACCCATAGCCTCGTCCTGCACTATGGTCTCTATAAGAAGATGATCGTGAGTCCCTTCGCCTCTGCCGGGCTTTGGGGTTGGGAATGAGTTACCTAATTTTCCCTAGGGGGTAGGTGAGCTGGAATGAATACACCAAATGCAGCCCGTCCTTAGGGCGCGTCCCTAGGCGTGGGCAGCAAGGTGGAAGACACCAGAGTGCCCCCTACATGCAGAGTGTTGGAGGTGGTGTCCTCTGATTTAATGGGAGTTATGTTTTCACCTCTGGTCGCTACCCTTTGACCTTAGGCAGGCCCGCCCTTGGCCAACAGTTATGCTGGTGTGGGCCTGACTGAAGACAGAGATAGGTACCCCCTCTGCATTTAATTAAACTTATTTATGGCTGGGGATTTAGCACAGTGGTGCCGCCGCCTACCTTGAAAGCACAAGATCCTGAGTTCTATCCCCGTACCCCCCGCCCCCCCAAATTAAACTTATTATTTTATAATGCAGAAAGCCAAGGCCTCACACCTACTAGGCATACCTCTACCTCCGAGCTACACCCCTCTCCCTGCAATTTAGGGTGTAGACAATACTGGGGCCTCAGGGATAAGGGAGTTGGGGTACTGTATTTGATTATCATACAGTCAGACTATTGCCCACCCCTTTTCCTCTGTCACTTCTCTCTACCTTTGAGGAGCTAGAACTCCAGGGACAGCTCTGCAGCTTTGTGTGTAAATGTGTATGTGTGTGTGTAGAACAGATGTCCTGGGTATTCCCTTTACAATCTAGAATCTCTGCATAGTTCTGCTTAGTCACTACTCAGTCTTCCATCTCCCATATATGTCTGTTCCTTGCTTGGCATTTTTTTTTTATTTTTTATTTTTTTATTTTTGTACTGGGGATCAAACTCAGGTCCTTGCGCAGCAGGCAGCGAAACCACTGAGCTAAATCCCCGGCCCCTTGCTTGGCATTTATACCCATGAAATGGGATAATAACAGATCCAACCCTTATGTGCTGCCAGGGGAATGAGTCTACAGTATGAATGCACGCTTCCTGTGTGTGTGTGTTGAGGCACAGACAGACTGAGTCCCTTGTATGTCCAGGTCTGCTTTTTCTTGGAGAACAAAAGCTCTTTCTTCTTCCCCATTTTCAAAGAAGTGTGTGAAACCTCCCCAGTCCAAGGATGACAGATCTTTGGTTTAACACCTTCGGTTTCAATTAGAAGGATGTCATATGTCCCATGTATTTGACTACAAAATGAAGAGCCCAGAAGAGAGAGGGCAGTAACAGAGCCCAGGGGTTGACAGTAGGGGGAGAAACCGAAATAGGAAATCCAAGGAACAGGGTAGGTAGATTAGGGTTCAAAATTAAGAAGATAGGAGAGGATAGGATAGAGGTGGGGAGAAGTGGTCTTTAGGGGTCTGATCAAGATCACCTATGGAGGGCTGGGGATTTAGCTCAGTGGTTCTGCCGCCTGCTTCGAAAGCACAAGGTCCCAAGTTTGATCCCCAGTACAAAAAAAAAAAAAGATCACCTATGGAACCTCTCTTTATTGACCTTTGTCTCATAGAATAACAAGGACTGGGGGTGGGGAATTGTTGTGTGTGGTTTTCCAGGGCTGGGTTTAGTGGTGGTGGCACAGCCTTATGCTTAGGGCTGGCCCTGCCTTGGTTCATTTTGTGTCTTCATTCCAAGGTCTTCAAGCCATACCAGGCCTCCCAGCATGACATGTGCCGATTCCACTCTGAGGACTACATTGACTTCCTGCAGAGAGTCAGTCCCACAAATATGCAAGGCTTTACCAAGAGCCTTAATGCCTTCAACGTGGGGGATGACTGGTAAGGGAGGCCTGGGACTTTTGATTTCAAGCACTGTGATGCCAGGTTCTTCAGTGAGGTCTTGTGGTAGCCCACATGGGGGTGCCTACAAGCCAATGAGTTAGTTATATTTATTAGTCATTTGCTCTAGGCCAGGTCCTGTGCTAAATGTAGGGATGCAGTGATAAAGAACAATACAGTTTTCATGTCGTACCTGTGCCAAGGCCTCTTTCAGAGAGGTATGTGATGGACTATGAGAGTGTACACTTGGTAGAATTATGGCTCCTTGGTGGAGGCTTCCTAGAGAAAGTAATGAAGATTGAACTGAGATCTTAAAAAGGAGTAGGAAGTAATTAAGTGAAAGGTGGTTGCAGTGTGAGAGGAAGGATGTAGTGGGCAGCAGGAACAGCATGTGCTAAGCATCAGTGGTAGGCTAGAGATGACTCATTTGAGGAACAGAAAAAAGACCAAGTGTGGAATATGAAGAAGAGAGTCATCTGATTGGAGGCTAAAGAGATAGGTGGAGCCTATTTAAAAGTAAACAGCCCTGTTATTAATCAGGATTTCTGCTCCTAGAGTACAGTCAAGTCATTGAAGTGTCTTAAAAAGTAAGGGAGTGCTTTTGACATGACCAAGTTTACACTGTGCTTGTATTGCATGTGAAGGACTCACTCAATATTTGGTGCTATGGGGAAAGAAGTAGACAATAAAGATCAGCCATGATCCTTGCTTATACTCTAGTATAATATGTCCGTGAAAAATAATAATCATAACAGCTACCATATGCTCTATTTTATTTATTGAAACTTTTTATTAGGAAAACTTTCAAACATTTATGAAAGTAAAGTATATTGGTGGTCCCCTATACTGTGTCTATCACCTAGCTTTATCACACAGGCAAATGGCCAGTGTTACTTCATCTGTACCCCTCAGGTTAGATTATCATCCTGGATATTACATACTTTTATCCATAATTTTTGTTTTTTTGAGACAGTCTCACTGTGTAGTTCAGGCTGGCCTCAAGCTTGCAGTGATCTTCCTGCCTCAGCCTCCTGAGTACTGGGATTGCAGGCATGCACCACCATACCTGACCTTCCATAAATATTTTATTGTATATGTCTAAATAATACTCTTAAAAATATCAATATCAGCTGGGCATAGTGGTATATGCCTATAATCCCAACTTGGGAGGCTGAGGCAGGAGGCTCATCATGAGTTCAAGGCCAGCCTGGGCTACATGATAAGATCCTATCTCAAAAAACCACCCCCGGGGCCGGGGATTTAGCTCAGCGATTCTGGTACCTGCCTCGAAAGCGCAAGGTCCTGAGTTCAATCCCCAGTACTAAAAAAAACAAAAAACCACCCCCACAAAAAAAAGACACCTAAGAAGTTAACAGTAATTCCTCAATATAATCAAATATGCAAGCAGTTTTCAGATATTCCCAGTTGTCTTATATATATAAATGTATGAATATTTTTACAGTTTATTTAAATGTTTAAATCAGGATCGAAACAAAGTCTGCACACTTCAATTGTTTGATGTCTCTTAAGACTTTTTATCTGGCTTTCCCTTTGTGCCTTGCATTTATTTCTTGAAGAAACCAGCTTGTTGATCCTGTAGTTTCCTGAATGGCTCTCATTTATTCAGTGCTTACTACTAGGTATTATGCCGAGGGTTGCTAGTACAGTCACTTAATTCTCATACCAACCATGAGATGCAGTAGTCCCTTTCCTGATGTTACACATAAAGAAACAGGTTTAGGGTAATTTAGAACTTACCTTGAATCACAGAATTGGTCAGTGAAATTGGTAGGATTCAGAGGTAGAGCTCAAGTTTAAATTCATTTCCTTCATCTGTTTCCCTGAAAGATCCTACCAACAGAAGCAGCCAGGGCCCCAGGACAGAGGCCAACTGCTTAGGCTGACACTGGGTACCTTCCCAGCCTTATCCCCATACCTGAGCCACTAGGGATGCCTTCCTGGAATGCTCTCAGCTCTCCAACAACTTCTTCAAGACCTCAGCTTTCACGCCACCTGCCTAAACCTCTCTTGACCACACCAGCCCACAGAGCTCTGTCCTCGACACAGTGCTCTGCTCATTTGGTGTTAGTCATGAGCTGTCTTGGGAGGTTTCTTGGTTTTTTGTTATTGTTCCTGCTATTTCTGAATTCACTTTCTGGGTCTGGGAATCCAGAGTCAGCACTGAGGCCATAGCTGGAATCCTGAGGATGTTCTTTGCTGGCTTAGCAAAGACTACCCTGGGCATTTGTGCCATAGTGGTCCTGTCAACCTTAAACTACAGTCGTGTTTAAGATTAAGTAGTAGTAGTATCATTTGGCTCTGTAGTAAATGAATTTACTTTGTGTCTATCGTGTTTCAGAAGAGAATCAGGCATTTTCTTTCCTTTTAATTAATTTTGGTTTGTTTTTGAAGTAATCTAATATAAATAGTCAAATTGTACTTCAAGGCTCTTAATGAAAGATAAAAGCAATCTCAGACCTATTCTTCATGCCCATAAATCTTTCTCCCCAGTGGCAGCCATTTTGAACTCCTTTCTTCTGGTGCTTAAGATTTCAAAACAATAAAATTAATTTACTACTATTATTAATTTGTAATATTTAGGTAATACCTACCATGCATTAGATACTATTTTAAATGCTTTACAGCCATTTGCTTATTTAATCAAACAAATCCTATGAAGCAGGGTTTTTTTACACATGGGGACACTTAGGCATAGAAAAGTGAAACAGCTCACTCAATCTAATTAAGATAGTCTGGCTTCTGAATATGGGCTCATAATCATAATGCCCCATTATGTTATTTTTTAGTGCTTTTCCTTCATTTATCAATTTTAGCATCAACTGTTAAGGTGTTGGTATGGGATACAAGCATTTAGTCTTTTTTTGGTACCCAGGATTGAACTCGGGACCTTGCACTTGCGAGGTAGGTGGTGGCACCACTGAGCTAAATCCCCGGCCCACAAGCATTTAGTCTTTTCATACCATCACTGGCTACCTTCCTTCCCATCCTGCTTTCTTTCCCATCCTGGCTTCACAATGTACTTAGAGCACTTTTTTTGCCACTTTTTATTTTGAGACAGTGTCTTGCTGAATTTCCCAGATGCTGCTCAAACTTTCGATCATCCTGCCTCAGCCTCCCAAAGTGCTGAGATTACCAAACCCTGCAGTTATATCACAATTTTTAAATCAATCCATATTCTATGATTACATTATTACAAATGAAAAAAATTCATCTGCCATAGAGCCAGATACTACTATTTTTTTTTTGTACTGGGGATTGAACTCAGGATCTTGTGCTTGTGAGTCAGGCGGTAGAACCACTGAGCTAAATCCCTGGCCCCATAACCAAATACTACTACTTAATCTGTTTTCTTGTACAACTTTTGTTTTTCTTCGAGCTGATAATTGCATTATTTTTCATTTGCTTAATTTTCTAGGAGTCAAATATTCTTTCCAAAGGAAAACAGTTTCTTTTTTTTGGTACCGGATATTGAACTCGGGTCCTTGTGCTTGGGAAGCAGGCACCAGGACCACTGAGCTAAATCCCCGGCCCCAAATATTCTTTCCAAATCTTTTGAGAAACTATGAAACTCTTTACAATTCTTTTTTTTTTTTATAGTCAAATATGTTTTCTCAGAAACCTAAATTTTTTTGTTTTTTGGGGGATTTTTTTTGGTTTTTGTTTGGTGCTGGGGATCAAATGCAGGGTCTCACACATGCTAGGTATACACAGTTCCACTGAACTTAAAAAATTCAAGCTAGGGATTTTTTTTTTTTTTTTTTTTTGGTAACAGGGATCGAACTCGGGTCCTTGCGCTTGCGCAGCAGGTGGCAAAACCACTGAGCTAAATCCCTGGCCCAAGCTAGGGATTTTTTAAAGCATTTCCTTTTTTGAATTTATTTTTTATTATTTATTTATTTGTACCAGGGATCGAACTCAGGACCTTGCCCTTCAGAAGCTGGGGCAGCACCACTGAGCTAACTCCCCAGCTCCCATTGTTTTTTGGTACAGGGAATTGAACTCAGGACCTTGTGCTTTCAAAGAAGGTGGCGGAACCACTGAGCTAAATCCCTGGCCCTCCTGTTTTTTTAAAGTTGGGTTCATGAACAGTCTTTCACCTTTTTTTTTAGTATCACATGTCTGAGAGTTTGATGGATTGTATCAAGGTACAGAATATTTCCCTTACCACACAAAGGTCCTTCATATATTTTTAAAAAATTAATTAATAAAATATAATAATAATTTAATTAATTATTTCCTTCATATACTTTTGTAGTCAATACCATCTGTCCACCATAGCTCCAGGGAAGTACTGATCTGATGTCTGTCCTTATTTTTTGCCTTCCCTAAAATGTTGCACAAATGGAGTCATACAGTATGTAGCCTTTTATATCTGGTTTCAAGCCTCTCCTTTTTGTAAGGAATGAAGATGGTAATCATTATCGCTAACATACGGCTCATAGTGCTGCACAATGAGCTAAAGGCTCTCTATAGGTTATGTCATGACTGTACTTATATAGGAATGCAGTTCTTAGCCAGGCATGTTGATGCATGCCTGTAATTCCAGCACTCAGGAGCTGCGACAAGGACCGTAGAGAGTTTGAGGCCAGCCTGAACTACATAGCAAGGACAACCCCCCCAATGGAATTCTTCCTTTAAACTATGTGACTATAAAGAATAATATTGAGCATTATGTTAAAGTGTGGTACATGTAGAAGACTCTTAAGAAAAAGAGAAGCCCAGTGTGGTGGTGCATGCCTATAACCTCAGCATTCAGAAGGCTGAGGCAGGAGGATTGCTGCGAGTTCAAGGCTAGACTGTGCTACATAGTGAGTTCAAGGCCAGCCTGCACTACATAGTGAGACCCTGTCTCAAAAAAACATTAAAAAAAAATAGAGCTCATATTTTGTCTCAACCTAGTCCCTTTTTTCTTGTATAGTCAAGAACCTAAACGGTGTTTACTTCTCTCCCAGGTAGGGTACTAACTCCCTAACAAGAGTTAAATGCTTCTTTATTCCACATCCCATGCATTGCACAGGGCTTGGTACATGGTTTGGTCCAAAATGTTTGTTTTGGTTCATAATGTTTGTTTTGGTCCAAAATGTTGACTATATTTGCACATAGCTCGAGTGTTTAGAAGTTGAGGGAAGGGAGGACTATTGGAAAATGGAGATTGGAGGGGTTTGGGTGGAGAAGGAAGTGTTGGAAGGAGCTGCACAGAGGCAAGAGTGTTCCAGTCTGCTATTTTTTTCAGCCCCGTGTTTCCCGGACTTTTTGAGTTCTGCTCCCGTTACACAGGTGCATCTCTACAAGGAGCAACCCAGCTAAACAACAAGGTGACATAACCCCAAGTCCTTTGCCGCTTTTCCTGTGGGTCTCTGGACACAAGGCCTTAAACCTGATGCTGGGCTCCCAGCTTTGGGGTGAGCAGGAGGAGGACTGTGATTGAGTGTTTTATCTTTCAGATCTGTGATATTGCCATTAACTGGGCTGGTGGCTTGCACCATGCCAAGAAGTTTGAGGTGAGTGAGGAGGTGATGGGGAAAACAGTGGCTACCCTAGGGTGGTGGTCACTGTGACAGCAGGGGAAAGACAGGTGGGTGGAGGGATTGTTCCTCAAAACCACTGTTTCACCATAGGCCTCTGGCTTCTGTTATGTCAATGACATTGTGATTGGTATCCTGGAGCTGCTCAAGTAAGTAATGCAGGAGCATATGAGGGTACTTAGGGGGCTCTTGACTGGGGAGATCCCTCAGACTTGGCTCTGGTGCTGACCTTGACCTCTTTCTTCTACCACTAACATCTCCCAAGAGCCTGATGCTTTTCTTAGGCTGCCTCTTCCTCCATTCTCCAGCACATTCCCTGCTGCCTGCTCATATTTCAGCCTTCTGTGCACATCTCTCTCCTGTCCCTGCTTCTAGCCTCCAGGTTGGAGCCCCAGGGTTCCCCTTAGGGAACTGGTAGTGTTTAGTTTCCAGTAACTTGGCCAGAAGATGACTCTTAAGTAATTCCACATCCCATGTTTGGGAGTAGTGGGCCAGGGAGGAGGGCTACCCTCTACCTCAGACCCTGGCTTTGCCCTCATTCTAGGTACCATCCACGGGTGCTCTACATTGATATCGACATCCACCATGGTGATGGGGTTCAGGAAGCCTTCTACCTCACTGACCGGGTCATGACAGTGTCCTTCCACAAATATGGAAACTACTTCTTTCCTGGCACAGGTATAGAAATGGGAATTATTGTCCCTTTCCCATCCCTTAGCTCTTTACTGTGATTGACTCCTTAACCTTCTAATCCTAACCCAGATGTGCCCTCCTCACACAAGCCTTTCCCTCCATTTGTAGGAATTACTTCTTTTTCTGTTATTCTGTCATCTCACTCTGTTTCTCTCAAAACTCTCTGCTTTTATATTTATTGTGGATTTTGTTTACTTTGGTTTGCTGTCTCCCTCCTCATCATGTCCACCCCAAAGAGTTTGTTGGGATTTCAATGTTGTATCCCCTATGCCTAGCACACAATTTGGCTCATGAGAATTGGTTGTGGAAGCCGAGCACAGTGGCACATGCCTGTAATCTCAGGAGCCTGAGGCAGGAGGATTGTGAGCTAGAGGACAGCCTGGACAACTTAGGGAAACCCCGTGTCAAAAAAATCACAAAAAATTAAATAGCAAAAAAGCTGGGATGTAGCTCAGTGGGAAGACTGATCAATCCCAAGTAATACACATACACATTTGCTTAGTGGCTCTTCTAGAGTCTGTGGCAGAGGTCCAGAGATGGGGTGTCTGGCTTGTGGGTGCTTCCCATGCATGGCTACCACCACCCTCTTTTCTATAGGTGACATGTACGAAGTTGGAGCAGAGAGTGGCCGATACTACTGTCTCAATGTCCCCTTGCGGGATGGGATTGATGATCAAAGTAGGTACTGACATCTTCTCCCTGCTCCTTCTGCCCCTTCTTTCTCTCTTTGCATTAACCTCTTCAGCCTGCTGTCATTTATTGTTGGGGCAGGTGTCCTTGTGGATGAATGGACTTCAGAGGGACCACAATCCCCTTGAAATTGTATGCAACATATCATGTGGATGTGCATTTTCTGGGAAGAGGGTCATTAGCTTTCATCAGTCACTCGTAGTCTGGGACCCCAGACTGCTCAGAACCAATGGTTTGGTTCTTTGGGTTGCCCCTTTCCAGGGCTACATGCTCTCTCAACCCCCCTTTCCCTTTTGTTCCCTGTCTCCCCATCCCCTTGGGGTGCCAGGTACCCATCTTTGGCCCTCTCCCAGGTTACAAGCACCTTTTCCAACCAGTCATCAACCAGGTGGTGGACTTTTACCAACCCACATGCATTGTGCTCCAGGTAATCCTGTCAGTACCTCCAGCTTGCCTGGGCTGAGGGAAGACAGCAGGGAAGAGGAGCTTCCTTAGGCTGGTGGGGGAAGGTGTCTGGAGGACATCTTCTGATCAGTTATGTCACTGCAGCTGTCTGATATTTTGGTTTTTTCAGTGTGGAGCTGACTCGCTGGGGTGTGATCGATTGGGCTGTTTCAACCTCAGCATTCGAGGACATGGGTGAGACTTTTCTCCTTTTCCCCTAGATTTTCAAGTGGCTTTGGGCCTCAGTAAATAAGAGTGGGGTTAGTTGGGGAATGGACCTCCTCTGTTATTGGGAATCAAAAGTAGCTACAAATTGTACATGAAGTAGAGTAACAGGGTTCCTTAGAAGATCAAAGTTTTTATTAAGCATTTATTATGTGCTAAGCATCGTATTAGGTAATGGGGGTGAAATGGGGAAGCACCTGTAGAGTTTATAATTTAGTGTAGAAAGCAGAAAAAAATAAGCAAGAGAAATAAGTACATTGTTATAAACCCTATGAAGGAAAAAATAGAAAGCTGAGACAACAGGGTAGCAGGATCTACTTTAGCTAGCATGATTTGGAAAGGGTTTTTTTAGGAGGTAACATGGGTGCTGAGATTTGGAGGCTAAGAAGGAGGGGGCCATGAGCCATAAGAGGATCAGAGAGAAGCAGTGAGAAGAGCCTGGGGGAGATTCTGAGGCAGAAAGAGCTGATGTAATGAAAGAAATGAGATAAAATTAGTAAGGCAGGAACCATGGAGCAAGCCATACGTACCTTAATGTGAAGGCCTAGAAATTGGCCACAGTAAGATTGTGTGGTGCATTCAGAGCCTGGTAAAGAGTTTGAACTATATTCTAAAGATGATGGGAACCTTTGAAGGTTTTTAAGCAGGGAAGTGACATGATTGAATGTGTTTTAAAGTGACTCTGACTGCTGAGTGGAGAAGGGTTTGAGTGGGAGTGAGGGTACAGGATTGGTAGCCCTTGGTGTTGTCTAGGCAGGAGGCATGAGGCCCAGACTAAGTGGAGAAAGTGGTGATGGAGAGAAGTGGGGAATCTGAGTTGCATTCTGAATGCTAGAACTGACACACTGCCTGGTGCATTAATGAAAGGAGTTGAATAACACGTAGGATGCCAGGGAGAGTGTTGAGCAGCACAGAAGCGATAGTGTGGTTTATTTTAAAAATTTCATTGAGACACAAAATAGTAAAGTGCACAAATGAATGTCACTGCCCAGATCAAGATATAGGACACTTGTAGTTCCCTTGTAACCCTTTTCAGGCAATACCTAGAGGTGTACACCTGGGATCCATCCATTCTTCTGGTTCCTTTTAACAGGGAATGCGTTGAATATGTCAAGAGCTTTAATATTCCTCTACTGGTTCTGGGTGGTGGTGGCTATACGGTTCGAAATGTTGCCCGCTGCTGGTGAGTGCCATTCCTGACCTTCTCCTCACTGTGCAGAGTGAGCTAGGGGCACCCTGAAATATGGCCAGTGGGCCCTTCAGCCCACTTAGTCCTCCCTCACCCTTCTGCTGGTTGGTTTCAGGACTTATGAGACATCATTGCTGGTGGAAGAGGCCATTAGTGAGGAGCTTCCCTATAGTGGTAAGGACCATTCTGTGACACCCGAACCATAGGAAAGCGGGTCTCACTTCCATTCTTGTTCCAGAATGACCTAGTTTGAAGGCAAACCAGGAATTTTGTACTCCTAGAGCTCTACAGATGAAATCCCCTATCTTACAGCGGAGAAAAGATTGGGCACTGCTTATGTAGGGGTTCTAGATGGGGAGAGATGAGATCGGAAAGTCATGGGAGCTGCCTTTCTCAGTCTGAGCCCTACTTTTTGGCTAATTCCCTCTCCTCCCCAAGAATACTTCGAGTACTTTGCCCCGGACTTCACACTCCATCCAGACGTCAGCACCCGCATCGAGAATCAGAACTCACGTCAGGTCAGCAGCTCAGGGAAGCTGAACACAAGAATAGGGGAGCTTGAGAGAGGTCCAGGATATGGGTGGGAAGCAGGAGAAACAGAAGTTCTGCTCTGTCACTGTGACTGTTATTAGCTAGGAGGCAGCCCAGGTTAAAGCAGAGGCAGCATGGTTTGTGGGGAGGGATAGTTATCAAATGGGGGATGTGAGCTAGAAACACTGTGGAGATCAAAACGGGTGGGGATGGGTGGAAGACAGCTAGCAGGTGGATGCCCTGGGTATCATTACTAGGAGCCACTCACTGTCTGCTCCTCGTCTACAACCAGTATCTGGACCAGATCCGCCAGACAATCTTTGAAAACCTGAAGATGCTGAACCACGCACCTAGCGTTCAGATCCACGACGTGCCCGCAGACCTCCTGACCTATGACAGGACTGATGAGGCTGACGCAGAGGAGAGGGGTCCTGAGGAGAACTACAGCAGGTCTGGGGTAGCAACTTGAGAGTAGGGCCGTCCAGTGAGCTTGCTGAGAAGGGTTATGAGGGAGAAAGTCAGTTGGAAGGCACTAGCTTTCCTGTCCCTGACTTACCTCCTTTAGGCTGTTATAATTTCCCTCCCTTCATTTATTTATTTATTTATTTATTTATTTATTTATTTATTTATTTTTACCATTTTTAATGAGAAAAGTAATAACATATTTACTGTAAAAATTGTAAGTAGCATCAAAATGTTAAGCTAGCTTTCATAATCCCAGACCCAGTCCACAGAAGTAAATGCTATATATAGTTTGCTTTGTATCTTTTCAAATAGACCCTGTTCTGTAGTTTACAAGTACACTTTTTTTTTTTTTGATACGAAGATTGAACTCAGGACCTTGTGCTTGCAAGGCAGGTGGCAGAACCACTGAGCTAAGTCCCGGGCTTTACAAGTATACTTCTAATGCCGGATGTGGTGGCACATGCTAGTAATCCCAGCACTGGGGAGGCTGAGGCAGGAGAATCACTGTGATTGAGGCCAGCCTGGGCTACATAGTGAGTTCAAGGCCAGTCTGAACTTCATATTGAGACCCTGTCTCAAAAAACACACAAACTCCAAGCATGCTTCTCTATGCACATAAAAACATATCACTCATTTGCAGATTTATTGTTTGTGTGGTTTTTAATATTTGTTAATATAAGTATGAGCGTTATGTATTATCTATAATTTATATCTGTCTTAAGAAGATAGATGTATTTTTATCTCTATCTTTATACATGTATACACACTTATATCTGTTTCAGTGTTTTATTGGCTATAATATCCTTGTGTGTGGATATAGCATAATTTAACCAATTACCATTGATGTACATTTACATTATTTCCTTTTTTTTCTGCTATTACAGTAATAAGGAATGTGGCAATCAACCCCCTCACATACACATCATCACATGTTTGTTAAGAGTGGTTAGGTTCCTAGAATTGTTGCTGCTAGGTCAAAGGCTGTGTGGTAAAATTTTTTATATTTGCTGCCCACCTGCCTTCCAAAAAAGTCTGTAGAAGTTTACATTCTTGCCAGAATTTTACTCAGTTCCTCCAGGTCTTAAACTAGACAGGTCACTGCCCACATATTGCTCTCTAAGGCTCTTGGATTTCTTTGTTCTGTTCATTTTTTCAGGTTTGAAAATTGTATTGTGGTTATGTTTTTTCAGAAAAAAGTCTATCTGTCTGAGACACCTACTGAAATATTTATAGAGGAACTCAATTAGAGGAAAAACTAGGATAGATTTTTTTTTTTTTTTTGGTACCGGGGATCGAACTCCAGTCCTTGCGCTTGCTCATCAGGTGGCGAAACCACTGAGCTAAATCCTCAGCCCTACAACAATTTTTTTTTTTTTTTTGTACCGGGGATCAAACTCTGGTCCTTGCGCTTGCACAGCAGGTGCCGAAACCACTGAGCTAAATCCCTGGCATAGGATACATTTTTAAAAAAATCCTCAAACAAGCTTTTCTGAAAAATGAAGGGAATAGAGAACAGAACCCAGAAGTGCAGAAACAGATGCACTTTGTGGACTAGGTCTCCTTCTGTGGTTGAGTGCTGAGCCCAGCTGGACACATGCAGGGCACCCAGGCCCACCCCACTGCATGGGTAGAGGTTGGAGTTGGGCTGCTTTACCATCTGAGGGGTCTCTCAGTCCCTTTCAGAAAGTGCTTCTGGCCCCCATATGGATAAGGCCTTGCATGAGTCCCTCCATATCTCTCCTCGGACCTGGACTCTGCTGTTCTGACCCTTGAGACCTCTCCAGCTGTCCTCCTCCATGAATGTCCCCTTACGCCTTTCTGGGTGAGGAACAATGTAAATGTCTGGCCTCAAGGACTCCTGTTTGAACCCTCATCTCCTCAGCTTCTCTGAGTCTCTATAATTGGACTTCTGGCCAGGCATGGTGGCTCACACCTATAATCCCAGCACTCAGAAGGCTGAGGCAGGAGAATTTCCAGGAGTTAGAGGCCAACCTGGGCTAAATAGTTAAAGGTCAACCCAAACTACATAGTGAGAGAGCCCCTGTATCCAAAAAAACCCCCAAAACAAAAAGGCTTGACTTCTGGCAATTGATTAACAGCTGATTTGGTTCAGCAAAATCTGTTTTTTTTTTGGTACCGGGGATTGAACTCAGGACCTTGTGCTTTCAAGGCAGGCATCGGAACCACTGAGCTAAATCCCCGGGCCGCAAAATCTGTTTTTTACGTTTTTCTTTCGGTCAAAGTTTGCCGTTTTCATGTATAGTTCCGGGTTGACTTCTGGGCCAGGTCTTTGCATTATACCACACCCTTTCAACAGCTAGCAGAAGCCTCAGGCCTCTTCCTGTTCCCAAGGCTTACCTTAGGGCAGACCAATCAGACCAGCCACCCACGGAGTTCCTCTTCTTCTTTGATGCCTACATCTCTGGGTTGCATATGACTTGCAGGGTACTAATGAGAAGAGTTACCATTTCTGTGGGATTGCTGAGCACTAGACTCCATACTAAGTGCTTTATATTACAATATACATATCAGGTCTTCATTCTGTTGCCATCAGACAATGCAAAGAGGTGGCTCTCATTCTCAAGTTATCAGAGGAAGAATCTGGTGCTCATGCAGGTTAAGTAAATTTCCTAGGGCCATACTGCTAGCTAGTTAAATAATCAGAGCTGAGATATAGACCTGAGTGTCTGACTTCATACCCTTAACCTCTTGCCTGTGGAGGTTAACTGACACATGGCTCACCAAGTACATAGGGCCTTACATGGCTTAGTTCCTCAACTTGATGACTTTAGTCTTTAGACTTTCTCTCTTTTTTTTTTTTGGTACTGGGGATCAAATCTTTAGACTTTCATAAGTCTCTCTCCAAGAGAATAGTTTTTCAAAAAGAAGGAAACTAATATTTAATATTTACTGGTTCCTGTGCTGCTTTCACACCAGGTTTATAATATGTCAATCCTCTGCTTAAAACCTTCCTTACCCTTGCACTTAGAAGAAAACCCAAGTGGGGCCTGGGATGTAGATTAGTGGTGTGGTGCCTGCCTGGCAAGCACAAGGTCCTGAGTTTGATCACTGGTATGGAAAAAAAACATATATAGAAGAAAACCCAAGTTTCTGATTGAAACTTAAAAAGTCCTGTGTAAGAGGCCAGGGATTTGGCTCAGTGGCGCCATGCCTGTGTCTTAAGCACAAGGTCCTGAGTTTGATCCCTGGTATTAAAAAAAAAAGGGAGGGGGATTTCAGAATCTGTATACTCCCCTGTCTCTTAAAAAGTCCCATGTGCTAAAGTAAGAAAAAAAAAATGTCCTATGTGCTGATCCTTACCTGATCCTGATTTGTTCTTGATCTTATCTGGTGGGTTTTTTTTTCTTGTTGTTTGTTTTTTTGAGAAGGGTCTCACTATATAGTTCAGACTGGTCTTGAACTCACTACATAGCCCAGGCTGTCCTCAAACTCATGGTGATTCTCCTGCTTCAGCCTCCTGAATGCTGGGACTACAGGCATGGGGCACCACAGTTATCTGTAACTACTCCCCCTGCACATGTTCCCAGCCATCTTGGCCTGCTTGTCTTACTAGAATACCTCCGTTTCCTTCTACATTATGAGACTTGGAACAGTCTTCCTGAGGTCATTGCCTGGCCAGCTTCTTCTCAGACCTCAAGTCTTTTGTTCTTAGAACAACCTTCCCTAATAACCCTATTCTTCCCATCACTCTCAGTCATATCACTTTATTTCATTTTATTCATAACAGTCTTCACCATCTGGAGTTTTTGTATTTATTTACTTGGTTATGTTTGGTCTCATTTGTTAGGTAAGCTCTTTGAGGATAGACAAACATTATCTGGTTGATTCTCTACTGTATTGCTAAGGCTTATAATGGTGTCTGGCACAGAATGGTCTCTAAATGTTTATTAAATATACAAAGGGCTGGATGTCTTGCAATCAGTCTCCACCAACAGGAAGAGAGAAATGGCTCCCTGACAGAGAAAGCCTGAGAAATGGCTCTGGAGAGGGTGCTGGGAGAACATTGGAACTTGTGGAGAGTGTGGTCCTGATCTCTGTCCCCTTGCTTTCCAGGCCAGAGGCACCCAATGAATTCTACGATGGAGACCATGACAATGACAAGGAAAGCGATGTGGAGATTTAGGAGCTGGTTGGGATGCTATGTCCCAAGGGATTCCTTTTCACCTGTTGGTTGGGTGGAAGGGAAAAAGTGTGGCTCTCCCAATCGTACGCTGGTCACTCTTCAGGACTTTTACTAACTCTGGGGAAAGATTTGGAGACCACATACGGTTCTAGAACCATCTGCCCCCTTTTCCTTCTGTCCCACAACCTGATGATTATGCTATTAGGGAGGAGATGGGGCCTAGAGGCCAGTCCCCAGCCTTTCCAGCTCCTTGTTTCCCTCCTTCCAACCCAGAGTCTTAGAGACAAAGGGGTAGACAGGACTGAGGTTGACTCTGGTGTCCTCTTCTCCTGGGTTCTCCTATTGCCGGTCTAGGGCCAGTGAAGAGTGAGGGTTTGGTTGGGGAGAGGCTCTAGCTCCCTAACACCTTAACCCTAGATGATGAAAGGTGCAGTTTTGAGTAGCAGAAGGATGTGAAAATGTCCTGTTCTAATTTTTGGCTTTGTGTCCATTTTACCACTGTTTTTATCCAATAAACCAAGGTGGTATTTTTTGTACCTTTCTGGGAATATTAATTCTTTTTTTTTTGGTACTGGGGATCGAACTCAGGACCTTGTGCTTGTGAGGCAGGCAACGGCACCACTGAGCTAAATCCCCGACCCCGGGAATATTAATTCTTGCTAGCTATGTAGGTATGAAGGGAGAGGGGCTAGGGATGATAATGCATAAAATTAAAATCACAGTTAACATTCAGCACCTTCTGATCAGCACTGTATATGTATTCTGTGTGGAAGGCAGCTATGCTCACTACTACACTGCCAATGCCACGTGGCCAGGACTTATATGGAATATTTCACTCATGTATAGGGAGTTAATAGAGCATTCTGGTTAAAGTAGATGAACCTGGGCAGATTACTAGCTTCAGAGGGTGTAGAAGAAAACTTCAGGTTTTTGAGCATGGTATTGGTATGATGATGCTAGCAAGTGAAGAAACACTGAGATGATAAAACATGGTAAGTGCTTAGTATAGTGCCAGATGTAGAAGCTGCTCATTAATTGTCCGAAAACCAGTGGGGGATACTGTAGTCCCTGCAAACATGGACGCTTCTCTGGAGGAGTGTACATCAGTACAGAGTGTGACAGATGTCAATAGTGGTACAAGAAAGAGTAGTAATAGATGGGTCCCTTCCTCCCTCCTTTCAGTCTGTTTCTCAACGCTCTTGTTTAAGAATGTAAATAACTTTTGAACTGTTTTGGACAAACTAAGTTTCAAGTATGGGCCAGACAGCTCTATGCAAGTTTCCATCAGGCAGTTGGAAGGTCTGGAGCACAAGAGAGATGAAGGTCAGGATTAGGAGCCAGCCAGTTTAGCAGTCCCTGGTATTAACAAGCCCTGCACTAAGCACTAGGGGCCCCGGTGGGTAAGTCACTGACTCGTCTCTCCAGGAATGTACACTTGAAATCTTTCTCCAGTTGTGGTCAGGATTATTGTCTATACTGGGAAAACTGCCTCTGTGCCACTGCTTTTCACAGAGGGTACATATGTAGCCAGGAGAATGGATGAAACTGCTGAGGCAGCTGATCATAGTCTTGGAGAACCCCATTCTTTTCAGGCATGTTTGGTTTATGACATTGGGGGAATCTTGGTTAAACACAGTGCTTGGTAGACTAATCTGAGTTTAAGTTTTGTACAAATTGTGTATCCTTGGGCTAATCTCTTTCCTTAAAGTCCAAATTTTTAAAAAAATTTTTTAGTTTGGAGAAATTTATTAAAATTGATGACATGTTTAATCTTCAATAAGCATCCATCCAGCTACCTGAAATAAAAGACACTGCTTTAGACCTATTTCCAGATTAACTCATACAGTACTTGGGGAATACAGATCCAGATTTCTTATCTATAAAATGGTGAGACTGTGGAAGCTATCACATAGGGTTGTGGGGTTTCAGTGAGAACAGACATATACAGTGGTCATATAGTGCCTGGTCTAGGCACCTGGTAACTATTGCTACTGCTTTGGCTGATGGCAATAAGTTTGTCCATATTCGAAATGGAGGCACCTGGCGATTCAGAACTGGGCAGCTGGTCTAGTTTGGAGCCTAGCGCATCAACTGGATCAAGCTCTGTTCTTGGCACATACCTTTGAAAATTACGTGGTATCTGTTCACTTACATTTTTTAAAAATGTGCTCATTTCAAAGATATTGCAGACATTAAAAACTGAGTTATCCCAGAACATTCAGCACTAATTTTCTGCCAGAATAACAGTTTCTCTAATGCAGTTTTTGTTTTAAATCGTCATACCCTGGTCGGGTTTGAGATGGTCTAGGCTTTACAGCCACGTGGGTGCTGCGTGGGAGCCAAGAGGCCTGAGCTGCTCCAACCGCCAGGGGGCGGCGCTCCCCGTGTGGCCCGGAGAGCTGCACCGCCCACTCGCCATCCCCCCACGTGGGTCCGAATGGTTAGGTCCGTTGGGCAGGTAGCGCGCTTCCGCGGCTTCCCTCCACTCCCTCCCTTACCCCCCATTGGTAGGGGCTCCGGGTCCGGGCGGAAGTGGGGCAGGCGGGCGGGAGCGAGGCGTCGCCGTTGTATATTCATGAGGCGCGCGCAGCTCGGCATGCTAATGAGGCGGGGCGCGGCGGCCGGCTGAAGCGCTGCTGGGCGGTGGCGGCTGGCGCGGAGCGGCCGGGCGGGAGCAGTGTAGGAGCGCTGTACGCGCGGGGTCACTGGCCGGCGCGAACCGGGACATGGAGCCCTCCGGTGGGAGCCAGGGGCCCGGCCGCGGGACCCGGGACAAGAAGAAGGGCCGGAGCCCGGATGAGCTGCCTGCGACGGGCGGCGACGGCGGCAAATCCAAGAAATTTGTGAGTGTCCCTCCCACCCCGCTCCCTCGGCGCGGCCCGATAGCCACGCTCTGGGCTCCGGAGACCCTCGCCGGCGGTCCCGGGGACGCCCGCCCGGGGTTCTAGGGAGCCGTCCCCGCGCCTCCCCGCTTGGTTTCGCTGTGTCCTTGGCTCCGCAGCCTGACATCCTCCCTCTCCGGACCTCGGGAAGCCCCAAGTCCCACCTGGCTATGCCCCGGCACCCTCGCGGCGTCCCTCTCACCCCAGCCCACAGGCTCAGTCCTGCCGCCCCCAGGGCCCCGCCGCCTCTCAGCCACACTTCCTTTCTTCTGCCTCTAGTACCCAAACACGTCTTCTCTTTTTGGTCCCCTGTGCTCTTCTGTATCCATTTTCTCTTCATATCTTTACCCCATTTTTGATATTCTCTTATTTTCTTCTCCTAAGGTTACTTCCTCATGATTGAGCTCTTTCACCTGCTTGCTAACTTTCCTCCTGGCCCGTCCCCGTCCCCCTCCCGGCCCTCCGCCCGGTGTCACCTGATAATCCTTCCCCTCAGGAATGTTACCTGACTTGAGCCCTGCCTCCTCTCCTCCCTTGGACGTTTGTCCTTGTGATTACGTAGAGGGGTTCCTGCCCCGGTCCGGATTGGTTTCCTACTATTTATCCAGAGAATCTATGTCTTTGCCCTGTTGCTTGTCACTTTTCAGGAGATTAGAACTTCTCTCATAATTATGCCCTTCTTGACCCAGGATGGTGATAAACCTCCCCATGGGGAGGAAGTTAGACTTCAAGTCGCAGCAGTGTATGAGTAATTGAACTGCTTTTCATACATTTCTTATGATAACCATCTCCTCCATTCCTCTTCTACCTCCTGTGTCCTGAGGTTACTGACATCCCTTTTTCTCAGGTGCTAATTTTCCAAGTCTGAGGGAATATTAATATTCATGTAGCTCTATTATGTTTTACTACCTTTTGCCCATCTCAGATCTTTCTTACTCTTCTGGGGAGGTATTTGCTTTTTACCATAAGAACTTTGAAAGATACTGAGCCGTGTTCAAGAGAGGAAAAGAGTTTTGGTCTTATCATTTGCTAGTTGTTGACTAATTATTTACTTAGTCTTCTCTTCCAGGTACTTATGTGGCAACCTTAGTATCTCTAACAACCACATGACTTGTAACTTACCTCTTGCTTTCTCTTGGCCCCAGCCCCCAGTATTGTGACTCTACTCCACAAGTTTGGAGTAGCAAATTGATAAAATGATGGAAACAGAAAGAAAATGTTTTGTGACCTGGAGGGTTGGGATGTGGCACATACTTAAGCAGAAATAAAATAGTGACTCATCTCTTGCCACCTATTTCTAGCAAGACCAGGTGCTCCTGGACTGACCTTTCCAGTGACGTACAGGCTGTCACTAACTGCCTGTTTTTATCTAGTGAACACCTTTTTTTTCACAAATACAGGGTTAATAGTGACACCCTATCCCCCTGTGATGACTAAAGCAACATTTTTCTCTGTTTCTTTAGAGTAAGAATTGACCCTCTAGTTAGAGAGCTTTCCTTCTAAAACTTGTCCTGTGTCCTGTGTCCTTTTCTGTTTGTGTATTTTTGGGTTTTGTTTCCATGGGGACTGTTTGACCTTCTTCGTCCAAATTCTAGTTATTCTTACTGATTTGTAGTGACCTTCATGACTTGTTACTGTTTTTTAAATCTTAGGTAGACTTTTATGCATACTTTTATTTTATGTAACACGAGTTTCACAAATTTGTGAAATCTGTGTAAGTCTACGGTGCTGTAAGGTGAGAAACCTGAGGGAACTCAGATTTCTTTCACCTGTTTTTTGGCATGTCCATGTGGTCTTGTATATGCTGAATGGATTTGGCTCAGAGTTGTTCATATTTGCTTTAAAGAGGGTGGCATTTAACCAAGTTCTTTTTTTTTTTCCTCTGAGGTGTTGTTGGTCTTAACCCCTACCCTGCTGAATTTTTTTAAACTAAGTGTTACAGTAGTGAGAAGAATTGCATTAGCACCTAGGGAATTGGAAGGTTTCCAGGAAAGTTAGTACTGCTTAACCCCTTACTTCCCAGTCTACCTCACGGCGTCAGAATCTTCTCTGTCATGCTTTTTTTTATTACTGTGGAAATGAGAGATGAGGAGGAGCACTGCAATCCACTTCTCTTTGTGTGTCTGTGTATGTATACGTGGGTGGGTGGAGTGGGTGAGATTGCTGGTGTGCTTTTGTTACCCATGGCTTAGTTTTCTTGAACTGCAGGCTAAAACCAAACTCAAAGCTCTTTCGCCTACTCCACCTTCTTAAGTGTGTCCTCTGGAATGCCATTAAGAATGCATTTTATAAATATGCACTTTTTGGACTAAGTGTACTCCAATGTTGTTTGCACTTGAGGGGTTACGGTCTGTAGCTGATGCTAACATACCTTTCTGGCCTTCTGTAGGTTCTTAGTACAGATCAACTGATAAGAATGCAGAGCTCCTAAGTTGCCCAAGATTGTTAGAGATACTGACATGAGTGGCTGAAGCCAGGCAGCCTGGTAATTAATAATCCCCCTTGGTTCTTCATGAGTCTGTCTTCTGGGCCTTGAGTTTATTGCTTCTTTAGCATTATTCCCATTCCTTTAGGATTCCCTGTAGATGGAGGAAAACAAAAATTCTAACAGTATTTTTGACTTTTCAGCAATGATGAATGTGAATATCAAATAGACTGATTTCTGAAATACATGTAAGGGGATTGATGAAGTACAGCCAAGATGTTAGGAGGCTGCAGAGTATCCTTGCATTTAGTAGACTGCATGCCTTCTCATGTTATTGAGAAATTGACACATCCCAAGAGAATATTGCTTCTCAATTCAGATGGGAATAAATATAACTTTGTAAAACATGAATTTTAGTGTACAAATTAGAGAGAACAGATAATTTTTAAAATCTTGATTAATTTTAGATGCCTATGTTGAATTATTATGTTGCAGTTTTACACTCTTCTAAAAGCAAAGTAATAATGAGAGTATAAATGTTTATTTGTAGATTCCTGACCAAAATGAGAGCACTTAAAGGTAAAGAATAGGGCTGGGGATTTAGCTCAGTGGTTCCAGCACCTGCCTCACAAGTGCAAGGTCCCGAGTTTGATCCCCGGTACCAACAACAACAACAGCAAAAAAGGTAAAGAATGCTCTGCAGAATTTTAAGGGGATAATAGGAAATGTAGAGAATATGAAATGAGTTGTCCTTGCAGTTTCCTGTTTGTCTCTTCAACAAGATACTTTTTTTTTTAGAGTCTTGCTGTGTAGTTCAGGCTGGCCTTGAATTCACTATATAGCTCAGGCTGGCCTCAAACTCATGGTGATCCACCTACCTTGGCCTCCCAAGAGCCATGATTACAGGTGTATGCCACCACACCTGGCTCACGAAGACATTAACTTCTATCCAAAAGGTGGCAGAAAACTGAGAAATATACAGAGAGATTTATTCAAATATATTTTTTTGGAAAGGTAATAGACACAGGGATTATTTAGTTTGGAAAGTGTAGAGAACCCTAAGGAATATTACTGAGATGTTTGAGATGATAAAATATTTTAAAAATTTCTACCCTTGTTGCCTTGTGTTTAAAGATAGCCCACAGGTCCACTTGGTATTATTACATGTACTTGTCTCAAAAGAAAATTCTTTCTCAAAAAAGGTAGAATTGAAGAAATGTCTTAGATTTGGGAGATTAGGTAAATGTTGGGGTTACTAAAAAAAAAAAGCACTGAAAAGCTAAGTGTGGTGGCACACCTCTAAACCCAGAAGGCTGAGGCAGGAGGATTGCAAGTTTGAGCCCATCCCAGGGAATTTAGTGAGTCCTTGTCCCAGAAATAAATAAAACAAGGGCTAGAGGCTGGGGTTGTAGCACTTTCCTAGCATATATGAATCCTTAAGTTCAGTCACCAGTAGTGCATGCATGCACACATAAATAAATAAATAAATTAATAAATAATAAGTGTTAGGGATGTAGCTCAGTGCAGAGGCCATGGGTTTAATCCCCGGTAGTGCGAAAAAAAAAAAAAAAGGCCAAAAATTTAATGACCTGTAGGTTCTATGTATGTTTAAAAAGCTAAGAAAACAGTAATAAATGAGGAATGATTTAATTTTTTTGATGAGCACATGGTTCATAATAGACTTATTTTAGCAGGACTGAGGAGGGTGCAAATGTTTCCTATCATACATTTCCTCTTAGACTTCAGTTATTTTTTGGGGGGGTGGGGTACCAGGGATCGAACTCAGGACCTTGTGCTTGCGAGGCAGGCTGCGGCACCACTGAGCTAAATCCCCAGCCCCCAGAATAGACTTATTTTATGCCTCATAAGGTGGAATAACTTTTTGTTAACCCTGAAAGTCCTCGGGGTATTATACAGATGGATGGTCAGGTTATTCTTGGGCAGTGTTATCTCTTCAGGGGAATACAATAGAAGCTTAAAAGATAAACTTATATGACACATATGATTTGGAAGAACAAGTTAAAAGCTGAATGTGGTAGCGCACACCTGTGATTCCAGCACTTGGGAGGCTGAGGTAGGAGGATTGCCGTGAGTTCGATGCCAGCCTGGGCTACACAGCAAGACTGTTTAAAAAAAAAGAAGAAGAACAAGTTAAAGATCATGTTTATATTCAAGGCTAGCCTGGACTACATATCGAGATCCTGTCTCAAAAAACAAACAAAAATCATGTTTATTAATAAACATGATCCACAAGGCATTAAAGAGTTTGAGTTAGGTAGGTGGTCGTTTCTCCCATTTTATGTCTTTGTAGCTGAAAATAGTTATGACTTATATAAACCTTTCTCATTTTGAAAGTAACTTTGCTTTACTTAAGTATTTTTATTTTTTATGTTGAGCTTTCTATTTTTGCTTACTTTTGTTTGAAAGCAGTAGGAAAAAATACACCTCTTGCTACCTGTAAAGTAGCAGCATTGGAAGCCTGGGCAGTAATGCATGTCTATAATCCGAGTTACTCAGGAGGCTGAGGCAGTATTGA